TTCTTATAACAAATACAGGGGAATTCCATGGGCTTACTGATTCCTCGATATGTCCTTTGTTCAATTGTTCCTGTATTATTTCTTTAAGAGCCTCGATTTTTTCTTTTGTTAAGGGCTACTGCTCTACCCATATGGGGTTGTCATTTTTCCCCTGGATAGGTATTGCAGCTATGGGTTGAGGCTGAAACACAGCAGCCCCAGTCATAAATCCTGAGTCATAAGAGTGAGTCCTATTTGTGTTAAGAGATCACAGCCCCACAAATTGGTAGGCAAAGTGGGTAAGACGTAAGGTAGTATCTTGCCCTGCTTCCCCTCATGTTCCCCCACCAAGGGTCTGGCACTAATTTCAGGATGGGACACACTTCCTATACCCACCATGTCTATAGATGTCTGCCTTAAGGGCCAATCAGGCGGCCAACATGTTTTGCTGATTACAGTTTTATCCGCCCCTGTGTCTGTTAGTCCTGTAAAAGAGAGGCCTTGAAGGTAAAGCCTCAATAAAGGACAAGAAATTTTAACCACTTGTGTCCAAAAAACACTGTGCCATTGTCTGTCTTCCTGTCGCTGGTCTTTTGGTTCTATTTCTCTTTCAACCCGGGTGCACTGTAGTCTCCCAGTCTCATTATTCATGAGAAAGCCAATTATTAGAAGTCATTTCTAGGAAGTTGCAACTTTTCAGCAAGCCAAATTAATTGTTTAGGAACTCAATAATATAAACAAATTCTCCTCCCAGACCAGATGACCTTGCTTAGAGAGCCAGTGTCTAGAAGCCTTGGCAAGCTTACAAAGTTAAGGGAATGGCCTTGTGCCCCTCCTTTTCACTCATAAGTAATTAAGAATTCTAGGTTTTAACTTTAAAACAGTAACTTCAAATAACTTAGTTAATAATTTGGTAATTTTCATAAATGATAGTTAAATTGTTTTAGCTATAAGCTGGTCTTTAATTACGGGTAAAGATGGAAACACCTGATTTCTTAATTGACAGTTACAAAACATTAAAAAACAAGATTAACAGGACTTGATAGAATAATTTAACTGGTTTTATACGGTTCTCTTTCAGCCTCTTTTAGTTCATATTTTAATAACATCCAAATTATTAAAAATTGTTTGATATAACACATAAAAATTTACCAGTTTGAAGCAATATTATATATATAAAATTTGGAACTAACATATTACTAATTTGAATGAACTATATTATCTTTTGGTTGTGTTCCAATACTTAACCTGTTTTGTTTCTCATTCTCTTTCTTCCCCTCCTCAACTTGGCCAAGGTTGGGATGTGAGAGAAAGGAAGAGAATATTTTTCAACAACTTATCTTTGTACATTCAAAGCTTTTGGCCAGAGCTTTAGAATGCAGAAAGAAAGAATTTCTTCCTATCAATTCTCTAAAAGTTTCCAGATCTTTTAATAATAAATATTTTCTCTCCCATTCTGTTCCCCATCCACCCGCTCCCGGGAATGCAGCTGGTATTAGGGAGGGGGAAGGGGAGAAAGTCACTAGCAGCATTTCAGAATCCAGTTGCAGCCCTTGGCTGCCTGGCAGTAAAGAATCAAACAAATTACAGACATTTATCACAGACCATCATTCACACAGACACAGACAAACATAGAAGAAAATGACAGGGAGAATCCAAAAGCGAGAAACTTGTCAGAAATCCCCAAATCAAATAATACTATTTTTATTTTATTTTATCTTTTCTTTTCATGGTATGTTATGGAAACCAGGCAAAATCTGTCTTAAGGTTTTGGTTTTTATAAAAGGCAAAGCAGTCTGTAGTTGTACAGGGACCTCTCGTCATGCCACTTAAGTCTGTCTTAGAGCTCAGAGTGTGGAGGGGGTTTTGAAGCTTCAGCTGCTTTATTACCTATTTCATTCATACTTTCTGTTTTGGTCAACGTTTCTGCAATTTTTCCTCTTTTGGTGGTGGAACAAGAGGCTTCTACCTTAATTACTTTTGTGGCTGAAGACACCTCTTCAGATTCTTGGAGACGTATTTTAAGTATATTCCAAATTGCAAAAGTGGACAGTGGAAAAACACCAGGTCCATATTTTTGAAAATAGTAATCACTTAATTGTTTGCCTACTGTTTCCCATTTTTCTATATTTATTGTCCTTTCCCTGAGAAGCCAAGGCGAGGTGATTTCTATTATGTCTAAGAATTCTTTGATCTGACAGTGTGATACTATAAGTCCCCTTTCTCTCATGATTTTTCGAAGGACCTTCTCATACATCTCTCTGCAGGGAGATTTTACTTCTAATTGCCCCATGTTACCTGTGTGCTTTGCTTGGGGGGAAAGTGAAAGTACCGAAAGCAGCTGTTAGAGCCTTCCCCTTACCATATCCTAGGTTCCAGTGTGTGCAGTGTCTCAAGGGGGATCTCTGGGCGAAGTCAGGAAAGGCTTGCAACACCTCTCTTGACTTGCTCGTGTGCGCTCGTGTGTCAGGCCCGATGTTGAATGCCAGTTGTGAGTTGTTGTGAGTTGGGGCAGCTGCACTGACCAGCAGCTAAGTCTGTGAGGCAAATACAAAAGAGATGGGACTCCAAGCGTGATGGAAAACTGAGTCAACTTTATTAGAGCACAGCAGGCAGTTGTATATCTTTGACTCATGGGAATATACCCCAATGTAACAGCGGACAAAGCAACAAAGTTTACATATCTTTACCAATAGGCAACACTGAGAATTTTTCTCATGCGAATACCATTCAAAGTATCAACAAGCACATCTCTTTGCGACATTCTCCTGGCTGTGTCCTTCTCTCATGCTGTTCCCATGCAAACACCACGTACTTCTTGTTCCCGGAATGTCCCAATACTTGATACATGAGCTAGCAATACTTGATACATGTTTGTGCTAGAGCTAGCTGTGCTTGAGCTAGCAACATTGTTTATGGTTGAGCTTGCCTAGCTGCCCTTCTTTCTGGGGAGTGGAGAACCGATCCAGGCCAAGGAGTGAGCTCCTCACCCGAGAGGGCTTATACAGCCATCAGGGTCAGAGTCCTACTCACCTGTGGTCCTCTACAACCAGGAAAGCTGAAATGTTGGCTTCTCACTAAGCTGTACCAACTCCTGGTGTCAGGATTCTTTCAGGCGCATTTCCCTAGGTATTGTTTTTATTTTCAATTAATAAAATTTATTTTCTCTCCTTCTCCCATTGGAAAAAAGAAAAAGAAAACCATTGTAACACATATGCATACTTACAGATTTTCACGTTGGTCATGTCTAAAAATGTATGTTTCATCCTGCATCTTAAGTATAGCTTTATCATTGTTTCTCTGGTATTGTGGTTGGTCATTGCATCATTGATCAGAGTTCGTAAGTCTTTCAGTTTGTCTTTGCATTGTTGTTTTTCTTATTCTGTATACTTGTCTTTGCATCAATTCATAGAATCTTTCCAGGGTTCTCTGAAATAGCCACCTGTCAACATTTTCATATGGCACAACAGAATTTCATCAGATTCTTATACCATAATTTGTTCAGCCATTCTTCAATAAGTGCGTATCCCATAGTTTCCAGTTCTTTGCCACTACAGGAAGAGCTTCTATAAATGGTTTTATACATATGTGTCCTTTTCCTTGCTCTTTGGGTTACAGACCCAGTAGTGGTATTGCTGGGTCAACGATGCATATTATAGTGCCTTTTTTGGAAATGGCTTTATAAAATAGCTGGACCATTTCACAGTTCTACCAATAGTTCATTAAAGTATCTGCTTTTCCACAGCCCCTCCAGCATTTGTCATTTTCCATTTTTGTCATCTTTGATAATTGGATGAATATGACATAGAATTGCAGAATTGCTTTAATTTGCATTTAACAGATTATTAGTGGAATATTTTTTCATATTTTATTTGGAGCATTCATTTTATTTCATTGGATTTCTTCCTTTGAAAATTACCTATTCGTGTTCTTTGGCTGTTTATATATTTGGAGAATGGCTCTTTTTTTTTTCTTTTTGGTGAGGTAGTCGGGATTAAGTGACTTGCCCAGGGTCACCAAGGTAGTAAGTGTCAAGTGTCTGAGGTTAGATTTGAACTCAGATCCTTCTGACTCCAAGGCCAGAACTCTATCCACTGTACCACTTAGCTGCCCCGTGGGAAATGGCTCTTGATCCTGAATATGAGATCTTTGTCAGAGTATCACCTTATAATTTTTTCCCAGCTACTTGTTTCTCTTATTTTTGCTGCATTTTCCATCTTATCTTCTGTGAGCCTTCTGTGGCCTTGTTTATTCATGAATTCCTTCCATAGCCTAAGATCCAAAGAGTAATTTCTTTCCTGCTCTTGATAGGCTCTTTTATATCTAGGTCATATAGCTATTTGGAGGCTATAGAGGTGTTGGTATTAACCTAATTTCTTCCAGGCTGCTTTCTAGTTTTCCCAGCAGTTTTAGTCCCATAGTAAGTCCTTGAATCAGTAGCCAGAGTCTTTGAGTTTATTGGACACTGAGCTATAAGGTTGGTTTACTTCTTGTATATTGTGGACCTAATCTATTCCACTGATTGACTGCTGTAGTCTTTAACTAGTACCAAATAATTCCGATGATTGATGTGTTTAGTATTGCTTGACATCTGGCAGCCTAGTTTTTTCATACTGTTTTGCAGTCTAGAGTTTTAGCTCCAACAGATCAAGGGACTTTTGTCCTCATTGATGAAGTTATTGCCCGGATGGACATTTACTATAGCCTTTTCCAGCTATAGCAACAGTGGGAGTCATCTCAGTTATTGATATGTCAGGAATTCCAGTCTCCAGTTCATACATATTCCCTCTTTGGTGGATTTTGATGGGATCTATCCTACCATTATGGGGCCACAGGAAAGCTGCCACATTCTATAAGGGTTGTCTCTCCAGAGGCAACATTGCCTTTTAACTGTTCTGTTAAAGACTTAGCAGTGGGCCTCTTAAAACATGCCTTGTTTTGGGAGATAATTTTTTTGTGTGTGTCTTCTTTGTCTTATCTTCCTTGAAATGACCTGGATCCTCTTGCTCTTCCTTCTCTAGATAACCATGATATCATCTCTCTGAAACTTTTTGAGCTGACAGTAGAGCGAACTCCAGAAGAGGAAAAGCTGCACCGAGATGTATTTCTGCCCTCAGTGGACAATATGAAGCTTCCTGAGGGTAAGGAAATGAGGGGAATTATCATGTTGTGGGAGAAGAGGGGTTAAAATACATGGGAATCTGAAGAGGGGAGGGCTCAGGTTCCTTCCCAGCCCAGCAGCACCTGCAGGCTTTCAGATTTCATCTTTTCTGCAGTTATTCCAAGGCTGGTTTCCCTTTTTTTTTTTTGGCGAGGCAATTGGGGTTAAGTGACTTGCCCAGGGTCACACAGCTGGCTGGTTTCCTTCTAAGGAAACTGGAATACTTCATAAGTACTGTCTAGTTTATCTTTATGGTGCCACTATAGGCAGTAGAGAGGGGCTAGGGTGGTTATCTTTGTTCTTAAGAGGGAAAATGGAGGTACCTAGAAGAGGAGAACCTGCAAAATAATAGTTAACGTGCTCTTACTGCTACTTGGTTGAGTTGTCCCCACTATACTGTTCCTGACTGAGTTCTCTCTTGCTTGTGATTCCTCAGTGACACTCCCAATGGAGCCCTTAAGTGGCCTGGCCCTTTTCCTTATCGTCTTCTTCTCTCTGGTGGCTGCTGTGTTTGCTCTTGTCATTGGCATCATTGTCTACAACAAATGGCAGGACCAGAGTCGAAAGCGTTTCTACTGAGCTGTCGTGGCTGCCACCACTGTGGCTACAACCCATAGGCACTGGGTGAGAAGCACTGGCCCCAACATGCAGCCCAGCAGGAGGACTTCTCCCATCTCACAACATTGTTTTGTAACTGGAGCTTCAAACCCAGGGACACTGCCACTCATTCCCATAGGAATCTGTGGGGACATCTAACTCTGAGACAGGAACCCCATTCATAGTGGGGACTGTGCTGCTGTGATGTGCCTTTCCCTGAGGTCCTACCAGCTGGGAGCCAAGAAGGATGGCGAGAATGTACTCTTTGGGGGTTTTTTGTTAAATCATAATCCCAGGCCAAAATTTTATAGCACAGGATACCTTGAAGGCCAAAGCAGAAGGAGAGTTGTACTTCACTTTCTAAATCCCCAGAGCACTGAGATTTCTCTCTAGAAATCAGTAACTCCTTGGTACTTCCAGCCATCCAGCCACTGGTCTTTATTACGTCTTAGCCTTTTTTGCTGGAAGGTTTTCCTAGAAATAAATGACTCTTCACGTGTCCCTCCCTTCTCCCCACCACATCCCTTCTCTCCTTCCTCCCAAGTTCTCTCCCAGCTGGAAGCAGACTGCATTGCCTCACCCCTATGGATGGCTGGAAGTCTGGAGCTACAGGAAAGCACGGCTTTTCATTGACATTGGCCTAAGGATCACGAGGTTGAGCATATTCTCTCCCTTTGTTTCAGTGCAGCTTTACCTCAATCTTCCATCCCCCTGTTCTGTGATTATGGGTCTTTCTTGAGTTTACCTGGTGGTCTGGCAGTGAGCCTTCTAGCCATCTTCCTGTAATACCTTGAATGTTTTTGCTGGGGAATGGTCACTGTGTAAATGAACTGGCTGGAACTCAGGATACTTTTTCCTAAGAGTATAAAAGGGCCCAGCAGCTCCTTATTAGTCTCTCCTGGGACTTGCTGCAGTTGCTAAGTTGCATGTTTGGGATTTGTGGTGATTCCTTGGATCTTGCCATGAATGTTTAGAAAGTGTGAAGGCTTCCTCCCACAGCCCACCTCCCCTCTTTTTATGAGCATTATTTGGCCTCATTATTGGGAGAAACAAAAATTGCTTCTAGGTATAAATATTGAGCCCCCTTCATCTCTCCTTAGAGGAGGTTTAGCTATTTTCAGGAAAAATGTTCTCTGTAAACCTTCCCCTTCTCTCTTATCTGCTAAGGAGTCATCTGCCTCCTTGTCATTGACAGGACTAATTTGGTTAGTAGCCCAAAGTCTAATCTAAAAAGGAACTGAAGCCTTCATGCTGTTCTATGTGTGTCTATCACAAAGGAAATTCTTAAAGTGACTAATGGTTAAAGAATGAGATAGTGCCTTTCCACTTGGGGGTGGGTTTTGGGGGAGGTTTGAGCCTGAGACTCTGAATGTGTCCCATATAGAAGTAATCTCAGGACAGGAAAGGGCCTGGGATTCATCTGCAAGGCCTGGGCCCTTTTTAACTTGGAGTTGTTTTCTAGTAACTCTGGTGGTAAATGATGCCACCATCCTACAGCTTAGCAGCAGAGACCTGTTATAATAAAACCTCAGATGGGACTGAATCTGAAGTTTGGCTACATGTACTGGTCCTCTTCCTACCTGGGAGTAGTTTATTTATACAGCTTTTTAAACATCTTTGGTTTTGGCTCCCTCCTGATCTCATTTCTTCCAGGTTGGGCAGGCCTGCTGTGAAGGGTTAGCCTTAGCTGGTTTGGAGGTTTCTCTTGTCAGTAACCCATAGTAACCTGGTATGCCTGAACTGTTATCCTATTGGGGTTACAGATGGTACTCCTCCAGAGGAAATCAGTTTGCTCAAAGGTATTGGTTCTCCTGTAATAGAAACCTTAACCCTACTCGAAGACATTCCTACCCCATGGAGGTTAGAGTCCAAAGTGTAGCCCATAGTTTTAATTACACATAGCCTTTAAGAAGGTAGACTTTAACTGGATGTAACAAGCTGGAAACCAAGTGTCCAGTTTAGCGCTTTTTGTTACTTTTTAGCCTGATTGGAGGTTAAGGAGGGAGACAGGTGTGTGATTGGAGGTTAAGGAGGGAGACAGGTGTGTGGCAAAGCATAGAAGTGGATTATTTTGAATTGGAACACTGTCTCAGGCAGAGAGATATTTGACATAGGTCTTTGTGTGTGTATGTGTGCACTAGGAATGGGTTTCTGTAGGCTCAGCTCCTATTCTGGCTGAGGAATTAAGAAAGCAAAGTTCTTGGGGGTGAAAGTTTAATGGGGTAACAATAAGCAGCTCTGATGTACCTATTCTTAGTACCCAGGCCTTTTTTCTTTCCCATAAAAAGATAATTGAACCCTTTAGATTCTGTCAAGAGTAAGAGGCACAGGCACAAAGAATGCCAGTTGCCACTCATCTTTACTTGGCATTTGTTACTTTATCACTCCCCTTACCGTCAAACAATTTGAACTTATAATGAAACCTCTGGCACCAGACATTTTTATTTGGGTAGGAATTTCCTCTTCAGTCTTCTCACAGGTCTGTCCTACTTAAGGGAGTTTGTTTCTTGGCCATAGTGGCCAATTATGGACCACTTGAACTGTTTGCCCTACATTTTTGAGTCTATGGCCCATAGATGATGACATGGGGAAATTTTTGAATTTGATTTTCCTTTTAATAACCTTAGAAGCCTCAGGGCTTCAAAATGATTAAAGGTTTGATGATAGGAGGGATGTAGATAAGAAAGTCCCACAGGGAAGTAAATTTCCTTCATGGGGTTGAGAGATCAGAAAAAATATCCAAGTAGGTAGTGGGTTTTTCTTGGTTAACTTGTGTCTGTAGTTTGTGAGACTGAGTAGAAGAGGCTCTAGGGATGGTTGTTGGTGTCCTTTTGACACTTGCCTCAAACTGTCCAGGTAGAGGTCTAGTTAGCTGGAACTCAGGTTTGATTATCTTCATAGCTAAATAGTTCTGGAAAAAATGGGGACAGGGTCAGATTAAGATTCCCTGTAGGTTCCCTCCCTCTGGAAGGCAGTCACTAAGGGATTATCCCTGTGGAGCCATTATAGATGGAAGATAAAAACCCTATAATTTTATTTCTCCCTCTTTGTCCCCCTACTTCCCATCACTTACGGGAATAGCATAGATAAAGCTTAGCACCATGAACACCATGCCCATCATTAAAAGGGTGAATGTAAATTTTCCACGGTAGCGTTTCCAACAGATGTAGCGTATACTGAGCCAAGGTGATAGGAACCACAGGAATGAGGTTTCTGGTCGTCTGTCCGCCCGTTCAGGAAATACATAATAAGCCAGGGGTGGGGGTGAGGGAGAAAAGGGAAAAAGAAATTTCAGGTAGAAGAAACCTAGAGTAAAAAAGTTGTGGTTTTTTTTAAAGCATAAAATATTTGTCTCTGTCCTTGGTGTTAACTGGCTAGGCTATTCTGTGTGAAGAGAAAAAACGCTCTCTTTTTCCCCTGTAGGCTGCCAGGACTCACAATGGTACTAGGTTCTTAGGCTGTTAGCTCAGGATGAAGAGGAGAGGAAAGGTATTTGGGAGCTTTTGCCTTTTCTTTGTGTGACCCTTACATGGGTGCATAAAGTGTAGGGTATTGGTTGGGTTCAGAGCGGCCTTTCCCAGCTGGTCTTTCTTCAGCCTCCTTCTTTGTTAGCACCTCCAGCGTCATCTTCACTTTGCCCTGGAAACACCATAGATAGTGGTAGGGACTTAATGAGATCAGTTGCCAGGAATCTTGAGATGTCCTTGGACCCAGAGAGGGGGAAGGGAAAGAATTGGTCTCTTGTTGCTTGCAACAAGATACTGAAAGTGCAGCCCAGTAGCCCTAATACCCTACCCAGTGTACTGAACAGGAAATCTCTATGGCTCCTACCGACAGACGCCATTTGCCATTATCCAGAACCTGACAAGGCCACCAGCCAGTGATAGTTTTCTGCCTGAAGAGGGAGACATGCTTGTGGAAGAACTTAAATGGCCATGTAGGCTTGTTTTCTATCATGCTGAGGGTGCATTGTCGGGAACTCCGGGTAGGGGTTGGCATTTCACACAGATCAAGCTCTAGAATTCCTGAGACCAGAGAGAAAGACCATCAGAGAAAAAAAATGTCTTAGCCTTTAGGGTCCCAAGGCCCCAGCTCAATCCCTTACCTAAAAAGTCATCAGAAAGGAACTTGTCATTGTCCCAAATCTGGATTAGAAGTCGGGGTGGGATCTTCTCCACTGTGGGGTCTAAGCTCCAGATGAAATCCTACATGTAAATGGGAGATGCTTCTGTCAATCAGCAAATACTTATTGATTATTTACTATGTGCCAGGCACTATGCTAGGTACTAGAAATGCAAAAATGGAACAGAGTCTGTGCTTAAGGAGCTTACATTCTTTTGGGGAAGATAACACATACATACATATGTAAGTAAGGAAAGGAGTATGATTAACAGTGTCAGATGTTGCAGTGAAGTTAAGAATAATAAGAGCTGAGAAAAAGTCATTGGGACATGGCAATTTAGAGATCTTATGTAACTTTTCAGAGTGGTTTCAATGGAATAATAAAATCAGAAGCCATATTTGCAAAGGAATGAAGAGGAAGGGTGCTTTCCTTTGACAATAAAAATAGTTGGGTATTTCTAGGAATTTGGATATGAAAGGGAAGAAAGATATAGGACAATAGCTTGAAGAGTTGATAGGGTTAAGTGAGGGTTTTTTGGGTTTTTTTTTAAGAGTGGGGGAGACCTGAGTGTGTTTGTGGGAAGCATTGGTGGAGCCAGTAGATAGGGAAACCGAAGAAATGTGAGCAAAGGAATATAGTCAGGGACAATGTGGGACAAGAGATAGGGAGGGATGGAATCAAGGTTACAAGACCTTGGCGAGGAGAAGGGCCATCTGTTCCTCAGAGACTGGAGATAGTGTAGTGGGGACAGGAGAAAAAGAAGATGTTAAAGGGTTTTGAGGTGTGGAGTGGAAAAAAAGAGGGAACTGTTGGCAAATGATGTTTATCAATCACAAATGAGGTGAAGTCCTCTGCTGAGAAAGGGAGCAAAGTGGTTTAGCCAGCTTGAAAAGAGAAATTGCATCTCAGGATCTTTCCTACATTCTGTACTCTGACCTTGTCTTCAAGGAATGACAGGGGTTTGGGTGGTAGAGTTGTCCTGCCTGTCTGAATGTGTTGTCAGAACCCAGAAAGAGTTGCAGTTTTTACTGCTTAATTCCTTGCCTTCTTGCTCAGAACGCAGACCTGTTCTGTGGGCAGGTAGTTAAAAGTGAAGATGAACCTCCAATTGAAATTGCCAGACCCAGTAATTGATCGATAATGGATATCTGTCTTTTGTATGTCGTCCTCCATGTCACGCATCCATCTATAACCGAAATGCACCATCCTAGGTCCACATACACTCAACCCTTCCTTCCCTGTGCACCCATTGGCCCCCTAAATTGGTCCAGTGTAAAAAGGGAACCACTCAATGCTGGGTGTTGGTGAAAGGGTCAACGTGCTACCTCCAGGATTGGGAGAATCTAGATAGTATGGGAGAGACCAGGGAACTTAAGGAGAGAGGGATCCAGCTTGGAGGGTCTAGGACATGCTCAGTCGTGCTTAATTCTTGGTCCTTTTCCCATCTCCTCCCTACTCCCCATGCCCTCACCCTTTGATGTAGATATCACTCATCCTCTCTCCAGTTACATTGATGTCCTGCAGGTCCACACTTCTTGTTTCCCAGATGATGCAGCGCAGTTCGTACCTGTGGTCACTGCATTCTGAGGCCAGGCTACTGAGCCGTGACCATGGGGGGGGGGGGCGCTGGTTGTTTCTCTCCATGGCTCAGGGTTAGAACATGCAGAGCCTATGAAGGCCTGGCTTCAAGGTGGATCACTACCTTCTGAGCCTGGTGGTGCAAGTCTAGTGGAGGATATCTCCACACATCACCAATAATGATGAGAATTTTTGGGGTAGAGGGGTGACATTTAAATTCAGTGTCCAAAGGTGGGATCAGGGGCAAAGGAAATATCCCCCAAAATTGCTTGTGATATAGTATGTAGTTGGCTATTCTGGCCAAGTGTGTGTAGAGGGAAAGGTAGCTCTCACCTTTTGGCCTTTCGAAGACTGATGTTGACTGCAGGCCCTGGAGGCCCAAGATGCAGGGGGAAGATGTCCACCCACAATTGTACCTTCCCCTAGAATCAGAGATAGGATTGCTAGTTGGTATTTGCCTTATTCCTGTGGCCTGACTGTGCCTTTTAGAGCACTTGGAGTTGAGTTCCTAAAAAACAGTACTGTCAAGAAAGGCATCTCTGAAGTCCCATCTGATTATAGGTACATGAACACAAACATGTTAGCTCATGTATATGTGTACATGAATCAATGTTCTCCCCACAACAGTGGAACATTTACTGAATAGAAAGAAGTTTCTGCCCTCTCATGCTTGATGCCTGTATTTAATCCTTTCCTCTTCCATAAAATAGTCTGTATTCATTCAAGCTCTACCCCCAGCACATACCTGGTCAACACCTGGCTGGGTGTTTGAGTACAGAGTTCGAGTCTCCACATGCTCAGGCACCTGTCCCTGAGCTTGCAAGAGGTACAGTGCCAGGCGC